TTCCTATTGGTTGATGTCACACGCTCTACCAATAGGAGAGCGCAAAACGCCATTAATCCAACCCAGGTTGGTGCAAACCCGGTCGGGCCGAAAACGCTATGAGTGCAGCCAGTGCACCCCAATCGAAAACGCTATATGAGTCTAGTTGTTGTTGTCCAACTATGAGCGAAGCAACGCTGACTCTGGCTGTAGCTCACTTGATTGGCCAATTTTTGGAATTGTTTGTTCAACGCTCTTTTATTCACAGCATAGCGGGAGTAACTTCACCAGCAAAACTTCGCTCCATGAAAAGGTAAGAAGACTTAGCGAAGCGTTGGCTTCGTTGTCGGCGGAGTGGGGGATATTCGCCAGCGAAGCTTTGCTGTATGAAATTGTACCTTTATACTGGATTCCATAGACTTATAAGATAGACGGAGCGTTCATACGAGAGGAGCTGAAGACAACATTGGCCTAGTTTCCACCGAGGGTTAAAACCGGATCAGAACGTAAGAACCAACCAACTACAGTCGAGCATTCCCCTGTCATTCGACTGTAATAGGGGAATATTCGACTGTAGTTGGTTGGTTCTTACATTCTGATCCGGTTTAAATCCTCGGTGGAAACTAGGCCAGTGAAGGACAGCTCTAGTCTAGATAATTGTTTCCCTCTTTCACAGTGAGCGGTTGGGGACCAATTAGAGTCCAAACACAAGCTTTTGCATAACGCATAACGCATAGTGCATAAGCGAATCAACTAATCAGAAGCTTTCCTTTCCTCTCATTCCATGGAAAAGAAGAATTTTGATTGGTTGATTCCTTTATGCATTATGCATTATACGTTATGCAAGAGTATGTGCTGCGACCTTTAGGGCCATTCCACACAAACTTGCATAGCCGCATAAACATATGCATAAAGAAAATCATCCAATCGTAGTTTACGCTTGGCTTTATGACAGAAATGTGATTGGATAATTTTCTTTATGCATATGGTTACGTGGCTTTGCAAGTTTGTGTGGAATGGCCCTTAGCTTGAGCGTATTGCTGGATTCACACTGCATCCGATTTGCGTCGTACAATGCTCTGCAACCAATCAGAAAACAGGATTCCGATGATACGAAGCAAAATCTATCGGAATCCTGTTTTCTAATTGGTTACAAAGAGTCGTACGACGCACATCGGATGCAGTGTGAATCCAGCATAAGGCCACAACTCTCGAACGTCTATCTTTGTTGCTCTTGATCACTTCCGCGGCTACCAATCAATTCACTACTAGAAAAGAAGAGAACTACTCCGCGACTGTTTCTTTCTCTTTCTATCACGTCTTCGGCTTCTCTCGTACGAATGCTCCGTCTATCTTATAAGTTTATGGCTGGATTCACATTGCATCCGATGTGCGTCGTACGCACTGAACTATATAC